ACGCTGGAATCAACATCATGGACTGGCCATCGGGTCCCCTGACCTTAATCCATAGAGCACGTTTGGGATGTACTTTGGGAGAAGCGCTACGTGGTCTTAGGAACCAACCTCAGAATTTGCAGGAACTTGGCGCTGCCTTGCAAGAGCAATGGCGTAGAATCCCCAACCACGTGTTCACAAGCATCAGGCAGTCGATGAGAGACGGTGCTTGGCAGTGGTGAATGCATGGGCGGCCATACACGATACTGAACTGAGAAATTTCGCATTGTTATTCTTGTGACTTGACATTCTGTATACCCATGTTTTGGAACGGCGGTGTAGGAACTGATTATGGCACTGTCAGTGTATCGAGTACATCACACAGATCTCAGCACTGAAATGATAACAATTTTAACCATCTTTCCATCTCTTTTTTCTTTATAGTGCCCTTAAAAAGAATGTGAAGTTTCTTTTTTGACTTAGTATACATTCTCTCGTTTGAAATTGTTTGGACAATTTAATTGACGTCTGCGCTCCGATTCGAAATTGCCAGTCAATGCAGAGAGTTTTCTCACCATTAATCGGCAGTGATAGTATGAATTCAAATGTCCCATGTGCGTGGATTGTATTCATTTATAACGCACATGTTCGTGTAAGCCAACTACAGATGCTAATATCTGACACTGCTAGGCGCGAGAAGCATCTGACTCCATAGTGTGGAGTGTAACAGTGTTCCTCCATATCTTTGTACGGTATACCTGTCTGACCAACCAGTGATATTCCCACACAATATATGCACGTATTGCTGAGACAAATATATACTTTATAAATATAAAACCCATGGTATAGTGACAACTGTACAATCAAATCTCCTTTAGCAGAGATTCCTCATGGGTGTGGACAGGTGTTTTGTCTTTCTATTGTTGTAGGCAGGTTATAGGGTGCATTATTTCTTAACTTTACAGTAGATTACGACCATCTACTGAGATATTTTCACCTCAGCCGTCAAATGATACAAGGGTTGTTGTTCAGACTTTACAAATGTTCTGTTGTAATATACATGTTTCAAATCGAACATATAGAATATCAATGTCCCTCAGATGTGCATTGATACATGTTTAATGTTCACCTATGTTCAAAAAGATTCATTTGGTGGAAGGAGGTGTGTGTCATTCTATCAAGATTAGTATTTTTGTAGTTACATTTATTTCCTTGTATTAATCATTTACAAGTATTGTAGAACTTATTTGCACCGCGATTTAAGGCAATTTGAATTAGTTTTTCTTAACCAGTGTCGACACTATTTTACTTTCAAATCTCAGGGTCAGTTCATCGCCAACCCCTGCACATTAACCATCTTGTATCATCTAAACCGGACTTCCTAGAGATTCTGATTGGTAGAGATTGTGTGGTTTGCGGTCCTTTGCGTAGAGCTCAGTTCACAAATCAGTTGAAGACGAGCAACTTCGAGCGCGGAGAGTCCTTGGATGGGTGACCATGCTTGGCAGCTTGAGAGTTTCCAAGACTTCAGTCCTTCCCCACAACGAGGCACATGTGATACATGTAGTCTCACCTTAGGCAAGTATGTTGTTTCAAAATTGCTTCTGTTCACCCAGCAGAAAATGGGTACCCGGTGAGATAAGTTATGTGATTATTAATCTTCTAGCGTCTCACAGGCAGCTTCAGGCTATCCGGGGTAATCAGATATCAGGTTATGATTACAGCGTCCAGTGAAACAACTAGTCAGATGGATACTAGGCGCTATATAGATGAATTATTATTATCATTATTAATCGAGATCTACTAGGAAATGAATGGCCATGGCACTGGATGAGTGTTAGACTGTTATCCACTAAACAGCCAGTTTTCAAACATCAAACGATTTCGAAATGTAGCAAATAATGCACGAAGATCCGGGTTAGAATTGGTCTTAAGCAACCCGTGTCGTAAGAGGAACTAACGGTATCGGATTGTCACGTCATCGTATCCCAATTGTATAGATGCTCATGCTGTTGATCAGTGGATTGTCTGGTCAGGCATATAGCTGGGATATTGCTGAGTGCGGCGTTAAACAACAAACCAACCATAACATGTATTCAGTTATACATCATGTCCTGTTCATTTTCATTTTCCTGAAATTGAGGCTCAGGTTTGACATTCCAGAATTGACTTACATTTAATTATAAATCAGCAATAATAATGCACTTTCACTCGTCAGTGTCTATTGCACTTGGTGGTAGGGCCTACTGTACTGCGCTGTGCATGTTATGTAGCTACCCGGCCCACCGTGACAGACATGACTAATACAAACTACTCTCTCGAGGAAATCTGCTTGCATGATATTGTCGACAGGAAGTTTACTGATGATTTATTGATCGTTTACGAACCAGCCTGTCCACTGTGATCACAAACTTTGTGAGAATATCTTTCACTACGGTCTTTCAATTATGATGACGACGTAGTGTTGAATATTCGGGAACGTTCATTCTTGTCTTGTCCTCTGTATTGAACTGGTTTCTATAAAGATTAAGGACGATTTGAAGGAGTAGCTACCATTAAAAACCATGATTGTTGCTGAAAAGGTTGTTGGGCAAGCCCTCAATACTGTCTAAATATATAGCTTTGCAACCTATCGGGCTTAAACGAAACAATGGCTTGCTACGCGCCTGAATTTGGTAACTTTGATCAGCCAGGGTGTTACAACAAATGGAAAGAACTCCTGTATAGATATAGCATTCTATGCATCTGTTTATGTCGTGTCCTAAATGTCTGTAGAGGGAATGTGCAGAATACACTGGCAAAAAATACAACCGTAACAAACACTGGTGTTGAAAGATTTCAGTATGGTGGAGCTGTTATGAGAGTACTTGTTAGTTTATAAAGAATATTCTTTCACACATGATTAATTCTGTACATTTAGGACACCAAAGACCTGTGCAAGTCTTGAACTATGGTGACAGCTGCTATCATCAACATTTTATGTGACAGAAATGAATGGCGTCTGGTTCCCGCTAGTCAATTTGCGTTGTAGCCAATGTGTACACGCAACAAACAGCTGATTCACTGTCCATTGGTTACTGATCTTTATATGGTACAATCTTTGTACTCAAGCATGTCATTACAGTCAGCCATCGCGTGATGCGGTCATTCTCCATTAAGTGATTTGGTCTGACATTTGAAAGCTCATATCATAATGCACTTTCGCTCGTCAGTTTACATTGCCCTTGGTAGTAGGGCCCAGAGTACTGCGCTGTGCATAATTTGCAGTTACCCACCACCCCACCGTGACAGACATGACTAATACCGACAGCTCTCTTGAGGAAAGCGGCATGCATTTTATTGTCGACAGGAAACTTATTTATCAATTGTTTACGAACACGCATGGTCATTGTGATCACAATCTGTTACAACAAATTGAAAGACTCCTGTATAGGTTTAGCATTCGATGCACCTGTTTATGTTGTGTCGCAAATGTATGTAGAGGAAATGTGCAGAATACACTATCAAGAAATCGCAACAAACATTCTTGTTTAAAGATTTCAGTTTGGTGGAGCTGTTATGAGTGTACGTTAAAGTTTATAAAGAAATCAATTCAATGCACTTTTCACACATGATTAATTCTATACATTTAGGACACAAAAGACATGTGCAAGTCTAGAACTATGGTGACAGCTGCTATCACCAACATTTTATGTGACAGAAATGAAATGCGTCCGGCTCTCGCTATTCAACTTCTATTGTAGCCAATGTGTACACACAACAAACAGTTGAATCATTGTCCATTGTGAAATAAGTGTTACTCATTTTTATGAGTACAATCATTCCCTTAAAGCTTTTATTTGAGGGGCTGTGAGGTGGTAAGGTGGTTAACGCGTTCACTCCTCACACCAGGGCCTGGGTTCGATTCCCACATATGTACCATTCCTGATGTCCCCACCGTGGTATTGCTGGAATATTGCTGAAAGTGGCGTAAAACCCAATTTACTCACTCACTATATATTTGAACTCCGGGCCATGAGAAACACCTGCACGTGTCTCGACCAGCTGAAGCGTGTTGACGTCCCTCTACACCCCCGTATTGTAGGATCAAACTAAACGTACCCATTGCAAACTCGTCCAGTACACATATCCCGCCTGTAAGTCATTCAACAGTGCTTAGTTATATTTCTCAGAATAACAAATCAAGATCTGCGTTTGGCGATCAGGGCACTCTGCAATGGTACAACTGTATGACCTGAACCTATAGAATATCGGACTGATGGGCAGCGCCTGTCTTCAAGTTTGCAAGAGACTTGTTTACAAACATATACAAATATTTGATACAGGTATAACGTGATCCACCACGAACATATTTGTAACGTTTATATTTCACTGACTGAAAATAAAAATCTCGAAATTATCGAAAGATCTATGAAGCTGGAGTTTTTGTGAATCATTTGATTATCTGCTTCAATTAAGTCATTAGCAATTAAATATCGTCTCTCATAGTGATGATTTTGGTCATTTAAGGATGTTTGTGGTGGATAAAGTGTACCTGAGGCATATGTTTTTCTGAATTGTGTGATGTTTTATCACGTCTTCAACATATACTTCATAGGACTACCAGGACAAAACCTGAGAACTAATTTACTCGATCTCAAATGTGTAATATCACGTAACATATACACCCTTGTCTGACATAAATGATTCCTGTTGAGGTAGGCTAGTTGTGGTAGCAACTGTTAGAATATGTAATGACGAAATAACACTCATTACACAATGGTGGGTGGGGTTAGAAAAATCGATGGTATGTTGAAGAAACAGACAGCATTTATGTATGTTACATATACATAGACTTGGGATATTTCACCTTTTCGCCTGCTATCATAGCATGTCATTGGCGTCGTCGGACCCCAAGAAGCCTGTTGTTGCCATCATGTCAGGTCTCAGACTTGAGGGATATTTCCATGTCACCCCAAGAAGCCTGTTGTTGCCATCATGTCAGGTCTCAGACTTGGGATATTTCCATGTCACCCCCAAGAAGCCTGTTGTTGCCATCATGTCAGGTCTCAGACTTGGGATATTTCCATGTCACCCCAAGAAGCCTGTTGTTGCCATCATGTCAGGTCTCAGACTTGGGATATTTCCAAGTCACCCCCAAGAAGCCTGTTGTTGCCATCATGTCAGGTCTCAGACTTGGGACATTTCCAAGTCACCCCCAAGAAGCCTGTTGTTGCCATCATGTCAGGTCTCAGACTTGGGATATTTGCCCATGTCAGGTCTCAGACCCAAGAAGCCTGTTGTTGCCATCATGTCAGGTCTCAGACTTGGGATATTTCCATGTCACCCCAAGAAGCCTGTTGTTGCCATCATGTCAGGTCTCAGACTTGGGACATTTCCAAGTCACCCCCAAGAAGCCTGTTGTTGCCATCATGTCAGGTCTCAGACTTGGGACATTTCCAAGTCACCCCCAAGAAGCCTGTTGTTGCCATCATGTCAGGTCTCAGACTTGGGATGTAGCCTGTTGTTGCCATCATGTCAGGTCTCCCCAAGTCAAGCCAAGAAGCCTGTTGTTGCCATCATGTCAGGTCTCAGACTTGGGACATTTCCATGTCACCCCCAAGAAGCCTGTTGTTGCCATCATGTCAGGTCTCAGACTTGGGACATTTCCATGTCACCCCCAAGAAGCCTGTTGTTGCCATCATGTCAGGTCTCAGACTTGGGATATTTCCATGTCACCCCCAAGAAGCCTGTTGTTGCCATCACCATCCACCTGTAGCAGACCAGTCCCCTCCTTCACAAAACCTGGCACAACACCTGTTCCTGTTACACTGCATAAATGATATCAGTGTGCTTGTACAACATTGGATTCCTCTTTCTTAAAGGCATATATCAGGCAAGCCACAAACAACTGTAATGTGCAGCAACATTCCAATGTTTCATTTGTGACCAATCACTGACGTTAACTTAAAGTTTAGTTCTTAACACATCGCGCCCCACTGTTCCAGATATATTTCCTCTAACTATAAGCGTGTTTGTGATTACTCTAGGTCTCGGTTTGATTTTGTTTTGAGAAACATAGGTCATATATTTTGTGCAGGAAAGTCTTCATCGTGTGTTGAAATGTACACTCACTCTACCATCAAGATACAACCCCGCGGTATCCTTTAGATACGTTCTTGTTGGGTCATTATAAATGTAACACTATTAGGTAAAATGACTGCAGCCACATCATACTTTGAGAGTATGTACATACGAGCTCAGTATGAAAGACGCAAAGGAGATTACTCAGACAAAGTTTGGTATTCCACACTCGTTGCTTGCACATTCACAGTCAGCGCGTACATTTGTCATCATGGAAATCGGATTTTTATTATCTGAACACAATTTCCTTGACATGACAAGGACAAGTATTATTTACTTGGACCATGTACAGAATGATAGGATACAATGTCTTACGGTTTTTTAATAAACGGCAGGTTATAAAATGTATCTCTCAATGTAAGGTAATAGACATTTAATACAACTGTAACGTAAAATACTGTCAAACATAACGGATGCAGTTTTTTGTCATTTTCAGATCACTGCAAATGCAAATACATTAATAACATATCTTTAACAAGCGTTTAGCAACCACCGTTTGATTTTATAGGCACTTATATTCATTTAACGCCAGTACAAAATAAATGTATTTTACGTTACGAATGTCATATGGTAATTTCAGTATGTTTTTCACTACCAAGCATGATTGTACATGATAAATCAAATTTGCTAATGGCGTATGCACATTATGTGATGCTAAATAGACATATAACGTAAAACACCGTAGAATATGTAACGTAAAATACATCAGTCATTATTATGAGCCACACAACTTAAACAACTGATATAGTGCGAATATAGGAGACGGGAAAGGGGATATGGATGTTCTCAGGTTATGTATAAGGTCTTATAACGTCGTAACGTAAAATACAACAAATGCATTTGCATCTGTGTCTTCAGTAAAGCATAAGCGATTACTTTCTTAAAGTTACTAGATGTCTTATTTTACCTTTTGATGGTATTTTCTTTCATAAAAATTTGACTAATACCCTTAAATATAAGATGAAATGACCACCTCACAGTAACAATCAGCATGCTATCTTCCACATGATGCATGACAAGATAACATTCACTGTCACTAGTGTTAGTTTTGATATATACACCGTCGCCGGCGACATGCGACTAAAATGGGATGTTATACATATCGTAAGAATATATTTGTTAAGTATTAAGGAAATGGTAATGGTAAATTAACTCAGAATACCCAATGTATTTTTATTTCCAATCTAACTTTTGTGAAAAAAGTTCAATATTTTGGCACTTATAATCATGCGACAACGCAATAGAGTAAATGTGCATGTTGAGTGAGAATGAGTGTGCCCCACTGACACTGCACTGGTCGTGTACCGCATTCCTTGAAGACCATTTGAACAGTCACAGGAGCACTGTCACTGTGTGTTGAAACTGTTGATCGTGGTGAATGATGTAAGGGAGACTACCCCGTCAGGTAGCGCCCCACTACACTGGTAGTAACAGGACACAGACATCTCACAGGCGAGGTGCAGCGTTTGTCAGTCAACACTGTCACTCTACCGGACATATTCTCATGCTGACTGTGTACGGTGCAAGGGAGACTACTATGTGCGCCAACCATGGCTGATTCTAACATGCTGAATCACCTCTCAGTTCAAAACTAGGCACTTCCCCTCAGACATCCGCAACTTTAACTGACATTATACTACATATTTCGTGGCTATGTTGGTATGCAGTCACTGATGTTTGGAGGGCAGTGTTCCCCGTGGCTCTTGGTGACGTTCAGCACATTCCTCGTGTGGCGCCATGACACTCGTGTACAGTGTCGCAGTTGACACGGCCGCTAGGTAGTCACAGCCTACATGTACAAGGAAATAATGCTCTGATGTTGAGTTGTGTTGTTAGTGTGTATTTTTATGTGTGTGTCCATGTGTACCCATATAGATTACTAAACGAGTGTCTGTCAGATACCATTTATCTTACAACGAGTTGTTTTAAAACGTATCTAACAAGCGAAAGCGAGTTAGATACGTTTTGAAACAACGAGTTGTAAGATAAATGGTATCTAAAAGACACGAGTACAGTAATCTATTTCTTACACACCTAAAATCACACCACTTTGGGCTCAAATCGATGCATTTTTTGCACTTTCTATGATTGTAGCGGCGCATTGATACATAACACAACGTCATGAATGTGTGACGTCACTCAGCAGACTACTTACTATACATACATTGTGTAACCCTCCACAAAAGAGTTTCAGCCGTATTTGTGCATTTTTAAGGCAACAGCGATGATGTAAACAGATAAGATCAAAGAACTTTTATTAAACACTTAAAAAACATGACTTTGCAACTGTATATGGTTCTCTGTCAGGTGAAATTAATTTCACAGCGTGACGTCATTATTATCGTTCCGAACATGTGCTAGGTGACGCTCATTCAATTTGAATACAGTCGTCATCGGAGGATAGCTTAGATTTCTTCGCACGTGGGGGACTTGCACTTCCGTAAAAGTTAATGTTGAATGTACCCCCATACACCGGAGCTGAAAATATTGAGGAGAGTTTGTCATTAAACGTAACCTTTGTGCTCGACTGTGACATCGCGGAGGTTACGTTCACAGTTGAAGGGAAGCTACTCTTCGTTGACACAGCCTGCTTGCTTTCATGGGGCTCGACACTACCACTAAGGATGTGACTGATGTTTCGGTGTTGCGAGGATGAAATTTGACTATAGTTGTTTACACTCTGCATGTTACGATGACCTGATATCTGCATAATGTGAGTTGGAGGAATATTTTCATCAGACAGTTTTTGGACAAGGAAGTTTCTTGCTGAATGGTTTGTGAAGTTCCTGTTTTCAAAACCAGCATTTTTTGACATTCGTCTCATAATAGAACTCAGTTTATTGATACCAACAGGTTGTCGTTTGAACCAGGGGAATTTGCTAGATGGTTCCTTGGTGTTAGTGGCAATATAGAAAGGTGTATCTGGACTGGAGTACCCTGCAGGACGGAGGCTCGAGTACAGCTTGTACATGGATACTGGACAACGTTCATCATTAGTCGCCCATGCTTTGGGGTGCATGTTACGGATACCCAAAGGATTATCCCCTTGGCATGATTTCGACTGCCTCTCTGTGAATTCAAGAAATTCTCTACAATCTGTGTCAGTTTTAAGTGCAACATCCCCCCATTTCATGTCAGTGTGTGGTTTGACACTACGGATCCCAAAATGAGTGGTGCTGTTCCACCACATGGTGTTCAAAATTGATTCGGGATCGTGAGGACCAAGTTGTTTTGTTTCATAGAGTTTGTTAACGTCATCGTCAGTGAGCGATTCAGCACGGTGAGGTAGGTTACCCATTCCTTCACTCTTTAGGACTTTTTGTTTTGTTTTGATCACAGTTTTTAACTTTTCGAATTCACGATCATTGATAAGTGATGAACAGTAGTGCTTTGACTTAAGGTACCTGTCAAAACTGGACAACATCCCGCGAACTGTAGATGGTCCGTAATTGCTACCATCTTCCTTTCTGAGGCAAATAAAAAATGTACACAAAATGTCACAAAGTTCTGTTGGTTGAATGGACTCGATAGGACGTGTGTCGCCATTTGCAATCATGAACCCTTGCAAACGCCTCATGTTGTACATTGTTTTACGTTGTGTGTTTCGGTTCTGGTTGTCATGAACGAATTTGTCAATTTGAGACTGATCATATAGTTGTTCAGGGTTTGGGGATCGATCCGTATCGTTACAATCACCAGGTTCATCGGTAAAAAAATCATCCTTCATCAGTTCATCAATCAAGTCAGTAGGTAAATCGATCTCACCACAAACTGGCACTGACGTTACCGTGTCAGGTAATGTCGTAAGGCGATACCTTGAAACCTGTCGCATCTCTAATGTTGTACATGTTGTATGTTCCAAGGGGAGCCACAATGGAGATAACACGCCCTTTGTCTTTACCATCGATCTTCACGTAATCGTTTACACAGATGTTACTTATTGTTGAAGCCATTTTGAAGTCGTGACTATGCATAATCTGCAGCAACTACGGTAGCAGACGACAAAGGAAAAAGAAAAGAAAATATGTTACTATCTAAATTAAGTTCGGTTTATTTCATAATTGCATACTTACAGGACAATCGCACAAATACGGTAGGCGACAGCTGAACAGATATTTAAAGTGTTTGGCACGAGTAACAGGTCTGCATTCGATTGAAGCACGAAAAAGTTATGAATGAATTTTAATCAGGAAAGTAGTCCGTCATAACCTGACCCTAGGTCATCACCATGGAGTAGCCAATCACGGGATTAGAAATCGATCTCACACATATGTGTGATACCAGTTTTCTCACGTGGGTTTCTCACCCACGGTGTGTAAGAAAATGATGACCCGACATCCATACTCTCATTAGAACGACAACGGTTGTTGTCTTATGTCACTTACGAATATCGATGTTCAAGCTGTTGATCACTGGATTGTGTGGTACAGACTCGATTATACAGACCGTCGCCACGTAGCTGAAAAGAGTGCTGACTGCGACATAAAACATAAAATAGCAAACAGTGCAAAATTTCTACATTGTATGAATGGTAGAGAGAGGAAAACACTCATATCACATGGGTTTGGAAGGGAGTTCTTGTTGTACATTGTTGGACATAATACACACAGTGTTATACGCATTGAGGCTTTATCTACACCATCCATGGATACTGTACCCCAGCAAAA